GCAACAACCTGAGCAAGAACATTTTAAAAGAAAGACGAAATTCATTTCTACAGTCCCATGATCTTTGCTTTTCGCTAAACATATACAGTACTCGTCTTCAAACTTTAGCACCTACGGAACTGGAGTTTACTGGCCATCAGGAAGCTCGTACGTGGTAGTTTGGATGATTTAATTAATATATATAGCAGAGCGGGACAGAAAGGAAAAAAAAACTCTAGAAATATATGCAAATTTGATATTAAAGTCCATGATCAAATAACAATTGAAAATGTAAAGCAATTGGCTAGTTTCAAGAATCCCGGTTGACATGAGAGCAAACCCACAACTGTTAAGTTTGTAATAAGATCACACCAACGATGTCTACGACATAACCAGGTAATAGAAATAACCAGGTAAACAGAGGGAACTTGCCATTGTCTATTCACTATATAGATCACATTAAAAAAAAAACACATATGGTAGAGTTTGAACTTTGAAGGCTGTTGAGGATTAATAGACAGAGAATAAGTACATACTTACTTGCATCTGCCGAAAGAGACAAAAGAAGATTGGATTGTCTTAGACGATAAGCATGACTTATTTTTCCTCAATGACTCAAATCGTCCCCAAGTTTAAGATGAGACTATTCTTCCAATTCTCTCCTCTAGTGACCAATTTCCCAAACCTATACAAAGAAACACAGGGCTAATATATATCGACAAAATTTTAATACTTGTACACACAAGATTAGTATACAAATATGCTTCTAAAACTGAAGATTACCCGGATTGTCTGTTATTTAACAATAATGTTTATTATTTTAAACGTGAAGAAACTCAGATCTTTAATTTTAGTCGCTTTCAACACCTCTTTACACACCTCTTTTCTTGGCTTCTTACAGCTATATAGCTTCACTATAAGCTATGCCTATCAGCAGGATGTATGAGTTTTACATACTGTATATAACTAGTAGAGTACCCGCACGTTTGTGCAGTGTGACGTTGTGGTTTTGTGTAGAAAATTTAAACCCAAAATCCGAACCCGACCAAAAAACCCTAATCAAACAATTTTTTTTTCTTTTTTTTTTTTTTTTTTTTTTGTCAACAGCCACTATGTCTACAACTCAGAAATCCAAGTTGGTAGAACATAATTTTTTTTTAACGCCCCTATTTTAATATTCTATTTTAAAAATTTAAAAACCCAAACTTTTTTAATATGTCTAAACCCGAAAATCCGAAATAAAAAAAATCCCGAACACCCTGAACTGAACAAAAAAAATCTGGAAACTTTTTCACCCGGAACCCGACCCAAATACCCTAATCAAAATTTTAAAATACTCAAACTTTTTTAATAATCTAAACCCGAAAACCTGAAATCCAAAAAATCCGGAAAAACCTAAACTGAAAAAAAAAAAAAACTCGAACCCAACCCGAACAATTTCTATATCTCTATAAAATTTCTATTTATTTGGTATTATTGTTAGATTATGTTAAGTTCTCTTTTTTGCAGATTTTAAGAGCTGGAAAACGGAAGTTTACTAAACCATCGGTTTGTTTTAAGTTATTATTCTGGTATCCAAACAATTTTTTCCATTTATACTTCTATCCAAATAGTTTTTTCTCTTATTCTTGTATCCAAACATTACAATGTACTAAATTGACCCTCATTATATTTGTTGTCAAATACTTTCTCTTCATAATTAGATTGGTTTTTTGGTCATAATTTTTTCATGTACTTCTCAATTAATAATATAAAGATTATAATCCTAACCTTTTTTAGTCCTAACTTTATTTGATGTTACTCTTTTTTTGAAACAAAACAATGTTATGTTAATATTAATGTAGATGAAAACTGTTAGGGGATTAACGTTTCAGGGCCTGACTGGTTTAAACGCTGAGGTTGCGGGAGTTTGCGATTATAAACATAATTAAGCTATTTGTATGACTGATATAGCAATTCATAGCGGTTGCGTTTGCGGGATATTTTTGACTGGTTGGCTAGCGGGTGCAAAACAGTATTAACCAATATTACTAAAATAAACATAATATATAATTAGGGGTTCTTTGAAAAATACCCTACTTATGTTTAGATATTTGAAAATTACCATATTTTTTTCTGTTTTGAAAAATACACAAAATTTATATATCAAAAAGACTATTTTAACCTTATTTTAACAAAACATTACTAAATAATTATTAATTAAAAACAAAATTTGAAAATATTATTATGAATGATATTATTTTATTTTTGTTCAGTTATTTAAAATTTATAGTTTAAAATTGGTAAATGTAGATAAAATTTTAAAATTTGTCTTCAACGAATTGAATTATTTTTGGAATCTTATATGAACAACTTTAATACCACACATAATCTATTATTCATAAACATTTATAAAGTCACAAAAATAAGAAAACTAAATGTTTTAGAAGACGATTAGGAATAAAAATGTTTATTAGTTTCAAATGAAAAACATCAAAATCAAATCAGAATTTTTTGTTTTTATTATTTAAAATATTTTTATTAATTAAATTATTAATAAATTTCGAATTTTAATAATTATCCTAGTTTGAAATTTCAAATTTGGAGATATTGTTTTTTTTTTAATCCGCAACCGTCAGCAACCGCAAATACTGGCGGAAATGAGCTTTTGAATTTCAGCGATATAGAGCAGTACAAAGTGGTATAGAGCGGTTCAGAGCGATTGTTGTGATAATTACAAAACCCCAATAACCGCTCCCAACCGCTGCATTTGCGTTTTGCGGGTAGTAGCAGTGAAACCAACCATCACCTTAGCCGAGGGTTTTTGTCACTAAATTATAGTAGAGAGTTTATAATGGATTGGACTAATATGAAAGGGTTTTTCATTAAAGTTTCCTTGTTTTATTTTATAAATGTGAATGCGTACATGAATAATATTATTAAGTTAAACAGGCTGCAAAAAAAAAAACCCCTTAATTAGTATTTCTGTAATTTTCATGCATATTATTAATGATGTTTAATACATATCCCATCAAAATGTGTGTATTATTAAATTAAAAGGCTGTTAAAAAAGTTCAAAGGAGATATTATTAAATTAAAAAGGCTGTTAAGAAAATTAAAAAGAAATATTAATAAATTAAAAAGGCTATTAAAACATATGAGTGTTATGAAATTAAAAAGGCTGTCAATAAAATAAAAATGAAATTCATTTTTTAATTTCTTCCACAATTCATACTCTTTGGCTTTCCATGCATGCATCAACCAATTAAAGAAATAAATCAAAATGCATTCCAAAAATACAATCTGAAATTTTGTAAATGACAGCTAATCAAATGATTTTTGTTTCTTTTTACTTTAATTAACAAAAATAAAAAGAGTGATTGATATCATGTAAACAATTTTTCTTTTATATTGTTATTAAGAAGTAGTAACAAATCTATAAACTTAACTTATTATTTCATTTTTTTTTTTTACATTATCATATTTCTTTATAAGTCTTTCAATAAATTAATGAATACATCTATTGTTATTTCGTAGTGTATTCATTTGAAGATTATTATATATGAGTACTGAAACTAATTCAAAAGACAAAGGCTTACAAAATATCACATAAACCTGTGTTCGAGAATACGCTAGGTGTTAATCGGCTGCTTGGGTAAAGCCTAACGCCTAGAAAACTAATCCGAAAATAATTGGTTATTTCAGAAATTTGGTGTGCGTGAATACTTTGATTTATTAGCGGAAGCCGAAACGTAATCAAATCAAATACAGATCTACCGGGATAAACATCAAGTACGAATTCTGGATAGACAATCTAAATAATCAAGGTAATTTTTTTATAAAGTTTGAGTAGCTTTCTGTTAGTATTTTTTTTATAAAACCTATGTTTGAGAACTCAGGTGCTTGGATAAGGCCTAACTCCTAGAAAACTTATCTGAAAATATTTGGTTATTTCAGAAATTTGGTGTGCCTGAATAATTTGATTTGTAAGCGGAAGCCGAAACGGAATCAAATCAAATTCTGAATCTATGGGGATAAACATCAAGTACGAATTTTGTATAGTGAATCTAAATAATCAAAGTAAGTTTTATTACAAAGTTTGAGTAGCTTTCTGTTAATAAATTTTTATAAAACCTATGTTCGATAATGCGCTAGATGTTAATTAGGTGTTTGGGTAAGGCCTAACACATAATAGACTAATATGTTATTTCTGAAATTTGGCATGCGTGAATACTTTAATTTGTTAGCGGAAACCGAATAGAATCAAATACTAATCTACTGGGATAAACATCAGATACAAATTTTGGATAGCTAATCTAAATTACAAAGTTTGAGTAGCTTTTTGTCATTTGAGAATTTTTATTTATGTTTTTCAAGTTTGGTGGGTGGTTTAGTTTCTTGGTTGCATGAACTATTATAATGAATGAGTAGGATACTAGGATACGCACACAATAGTATATATTCATTAATCGTTCGTTGCACACTAATATAACAAAACTTATTAAATTTAACTAAACATTCATTCTTATTCTACAAAACTATTTTGTTCTTCCAATCTGCAGAACTATTTTTAAATCAAAAATTACACTAATTGGTTTTTTTAGATGGTCATCTCAACCGTCTAAACCTCCATATAGTATTGAATTAAGCTACCAGCCACCACGTAGCACATGAACATTAATATATACTCATCAATGTATTAGATAATTTGTTGTATGTTTTTTTTGTTTCAGACTAATTGGGTGTTTGTTGAGTTTTTTGGGTAAGTCAATTTTTAACTAGCATTAGTAATTCAGATTTTGGCTGAATCATAAAGACTCTTTGTCTTTTTTTAGATGTCCAATTATTCTACCATCGTTTATTTTCTTTATTTCGTTAAATATTCCGGCATTAAAAAATTTATGTTGTCAGGTTGATGTCAACATTTTCTCTTCTTTTTTTCTTCTAATGAATGTAATTTTACTGTAGGGTTAAAATCCAATTTGTGATCTAGATATAACTCTAAAGTTCCCAACAAAAGCACTTTGACCCACATCAGAAAGATGTTCACCAAAGAGATGTTGACCGAGCAATTCAATCAAGTGTTGATTAGCAAAGATGGAGACAGTGGAAAAGACATTGTTCCGTTGTCTACATCAGAGGATTCAAAGGTTAATGCCGAACAAACGAAAAGGAAGGAGGGAAAGCGAAAGAATGAAGATACCAAGAAAAGACCGATGAAGAAGAAAAAAGAGTTGGAGTGGAAACGAGAGAATGGTGCGCAGCCAATTGGCAAATTGATTAAGTCTACTGGTACTGGACTAAAGAAGAAATCCCATTACGAGAAGTTCGAGTTTCATGGCATAAAATATGAACTGGTGAGTTTTCTTTTCCTCAAGATTTCTTAATTTTTGTTCTGACTCATTACAACAGCTTTTTAGTGTTGAAAAGAAAACTCACATAACAGTTTGGACAACATTTAAAACAATTAAAAAGCTCCAATTTATATAATTTATAACGGTTGCCCTAAGCAACAAACTTAGATATATATCTTGTGCGATGGACTAGGTCTACACACTAAAGTAACTTTTTGGATATTGTGAGAAATGACAAGGAAAAACGTAATTTGCGTGTGTGTGTTAACTGTAATAATTACCATTTTTTTTGTGCATAGGAGGATTCAGTGTTACTGATGGCAGAATCCGCAGACCAAAAGCCCTATGCCGCTATCATAAAGGTTAAAAATCAAAAGAGAAATGTTGACATAGTTTTCAGTTTTTACCTTATAATAACCAAACTATATTGTTGGATAGGACATTTATGCAAAAGGCAAAGAAGGATATGTGAAGCTTGTAGTGCAGTGGTTTTATCGGCCAGGAGATGTTGAGGAAGAATATCTCGGAAAATGGGAATCCAACGATTCAAGGGACCTCTTCTACAGTTTCCATCGCGATGAAGTGTTTGCTGAATCCGTGAAGCACAGTTGCATTGTGCATTTCGTGCCAGAGAATAATAAATTCCTAGACCGTAGAGACCATCCTAACTTTATTGTGCAGAATCTTTACGGTTTTGCTAAGAAGAAGCTGCGAAAGTTCACTGATAAGGACTTTAACGAGCAGCAAAGACAAGAGATTGATATTCTCTTGGCACAGACGATGTCGCGAGTTGGCGATCTTCCTGACATTGAGAAGGAGCACAAGAATAAGAAATCGAGGGGTAAACAAGTTGTTCTTGAAAGGATCACCAAGAAACCTAGGAGATTGAGTCCTATCTTGGAGAAATTTGGTATGTTAACCGGAAATTTGGATCGTGACAATAGATTAGATAAGCTTCTAAAGGCGGTGCAGCGCAAGTGTCGTGTAACAAAGAATAAACAAGCTGGTGATTATGATTCTTTCTGGCCAGATGATGCCGTTCCTGTGGTGCGTGCTCTTGAGCATGTCTTATATGATTCTTTCGCAGAGGATATGCCAAAGTACAGTTACATATCGAAGAAGCTAGTTAAAAAACTCAAGGTTAGTTTAATTCCATTCCCTCCTTCATTTTGCGTGTGTGCATGTACTAGTTAGAATCCTTAGGCTGTGACAATTATTTCATTCCTCTAGTATCAAATTTCGCTGGCTTGGAAGGTGATATAACAAACCAACGGTGATAAAGATAAAATATGCTATCCTTTATAGAAATGACATGAATTCTTGTGTGAAATCCCACTCTGATGTTTGATGATTGAACTTCACACTGTGTTTGAGTAGAATAGGGAATCTAGTAGATTTTGGGGATCCTGTGATGACGATATTAATAATTTTATATAGGAGTCTAATACATTATATATCCCTAGGAAATAATATCGTTTAGGAACTTTGGTGCTCTACATTTGTTTCTATTTTACATTCGTTTCTTGTCCAGCCTTGGTTATTCATTGGTTTGTTGTGAACAATTCCTCCTCTGATAGAGTTTAATTTATCTATACAAACAAAAGGAACTTTGGTGCTACTTAGAGTTTCATCAACTATTATCATTTTAGAATTTATTACATCATCCCTTAGGAATATCGTCCTGTACATAGAATTTGCAAAACTGCCTTCGAGAAGTATCATATTCAATGACAAAGCACAGTTTTTTTCTTTCTAACAGTACCCCAAAAGCAACAACATGATCCATATTAGAGCTACAATATTATCACATTTTTAGAAATATATTTTCCAATGAACTATCAAAAGTCATTAGAACTATATAAAACGCCAAATAAGAATTGCTAGCGATAAAAATCTATTTATATTTTCAGAATAATATTTATATTAACATCAATTTCATATTTCCGGTATGATATATTTCCCTAAAATTATTTTTTGTATTCAGTGGTATTAGTTTGTTGCAAGTATCATTTTAAGTTAGCATTTATTTTATTTTGTATTTTGAGTGATACAGTAATTTCTTCTCGTTTGTTTGTAGTGCTCATGAATGCTTGCTGAACGTATTCTCAATGGCGAATTAAAACCAAAACAGGTTAAAACGATGACGAGCTATGAGCTAAAGGTAATGTCTCTTATTCACATACTTTCTTCAATGTCACCGGTTGATGCAATAACACTAACCCTGAATTGTATACCTTTAATCGCATCTTAAGTGATATTCTATTTCGAAGTGACTAAGAAGATTTGTTTTTTCATTTATTTTTTTAGCAAAGGGGTCATACTTTCGACGAGATAACAGCTGTCATCGAAGAACCACAGCTGAAGAGAGATGATCCGTCCACTTCCGGTCCAAAAGTATAAGGCGCTGATGTTTCCTCCACAATTAAAGATATCTAAGAGTATCTTGATTGTCTTTGTGTTCATCTGAATCTTTTAGAAGAGTTTTTTTATCCAGAGTTTTCGTCGATCATGACTTCTTCTTCTTTTTTTCAGTTTTTGTTTTGTTGGCGAAAATTTCTTATCTAAAACTTTCAGTTATTTAAGTTTTTTTTTTTTGTTTTTTTAGGCATCAATAACATGTGTTCGCGCATGTATATAACTGAATTATGAATCAAAAATAATATGAATATTTTTTTTATGGGCTAATTTGTTTTCTATTAGAACAGAATCAAAAAGAGTTTGTAGCCAACCTAGTTAGAGATCTAGAAAATATGTGTTAGATAGCTTTGTTTTTCTTGCAAATTAACACAGATTAATAGACATGCATATATAAAAAAGTGTATAATTGGTTGTAGTTGTAACTTTTTTTTTGCTGTAACTTTAGATTTTTGCTGCAGATTTTTTGCTATAAATACTTTATTTATTTAATCTATGTATTATAGTTTATATATAAATTAGTTTTAATTTTTTTTTTTTTAAAAAGTTGATATAGAAAACAAACTTGCAAAAATAGAATAATTAACAAAAAAAAATAAGGAAAGAAAAGAAAGAAAATTCTCAAAGCTGATGTTTTCGTATCTAAATCATGGTTCTAGACTTTAAAAATTGAACCAAAGCTCGATTGGTTTAACATTTGTTTTTTAGAAAAATATAGCTCCGGGGTAATCAGATCACTTACCAATCAGGAAGATTGATTTTCAGATGTGATTTACATCTATCAATTGTGTGTTAGATTTTATACTATGTATGATATTTTATTGATTTAGCGAATTATTAATTTATCAAGTGCTTATTCGTATCAAAAACTTAGTTTGGAACCGAAAATTTCTATTAATATATGGACTTATTAATTGAATATTAATTTATAGAGTTTCTATTGTATTAACAACGACAAGTAATAATCAAATATAAAATAATATCGTACAAAGGCTATGATACTATGCAGAGAAGTTGTTTTATTGATATAAATTGTGCGTACGGATATATTGGTACATAATAGACTCGAGGTCACAGGAATTTCTACAAAGAAATGCAATCATATATTGAGTAAGAAAGGATAATTATTTTGTTTTCCTAATATTTCAAACATTGCTGCAAATGAATAATGATAGTTCGTAGAATATGATTTATATTGTTCTTCGTAAATTAACAAAAAAAAAGTGAGTGGATGAACGACTTTATAATTACTTGTGTCTGTGTTCGTTATTATGATGGCAATATCTATTACTGCATCTCCATCCCTTTGAATTCAAAAATATTTTTTTAATTTTCATCTTTTACCCTTTGAGTTCTGCTCAAGTATCTACCAGTCCATCTCAATCCCTACAATAGTTTTCACTTTAAATGCCCATTTCAATTTTTTCTCTAACTCAACTCCATTTTCAACCTAAAAATTGAGTAATGCTATTTTTTTGTCTCTAAATATGGAGACACCCCATTTACAATCCCATTTAGGAGATGAACTTTTTTATTTACAAAGTAGTTCATCTCCTTATTATTTTCATAACACAAAAAAAAAACAAAGTAGATTTTTAAATATATGATCCCAATAATAAGGTAAAATAATAAGTATAAATATAGACATATATAACTAAGTATATACGGTAGTTAGTCAGAACATGATTCAATTGTTATTTCAAATTTGATTAAATCTTGCCAAATTTATTGATACAACATATTTTGAACAAATTTTACAGTGTTTAAAATCAATTTTTTTTTTTTAATGAATATCAAGAATTCAAATCGATAAATCTCTCTAGAAACAAATAGTTTATTACTACATCGATAAAATAATAATTATTATTTTATCCATAAAAAAATAACTCTATAAGATAATAAATTTTCAAAGTCTCAACATTATTATCTTATAGAGGTTTTACTGTAATTGGACTAAAATTGGACTAAAATTATACATTGTATAATATCTGTATAATTGGACCAAAATAACTGTATAATATCTTATACATTGGACTAAAATTGATTCTCATTTTGGGTTACCATTTTGGAAACAAAATCTGGTAATACAATCTTAAAGAGAGGAAATTGTAAAGAAATTACCAGTATGAAGAATTTATCTTCTGAACTCTGACATATGTATTCATTTATAGATAAGATCTAGTATAAACATATTAGTTGTCTTAGCTGTATATTACCTTTGACTTGATATTTCCTTAACCAAATCATTTACAGGTCAGATATTATACATGAACATGCACCAATATTATCACAAAAACTAGTATAAGAGAAACATTCTCACAAAACTTAGATACAAACATATCATCAAGCTTCACTTTGACCAGCTTAAGAATACTATGGAGAGGACGCAGATTAAGCGAAAGATGGAACGTAGTGCCGGGAAAATGCATGTAAAGAAGAAACGGGAGTTAGAGTCGAAACCTGAGGATTCCCCGCAACCAATTGGGGAATTGGTTAAGTTTCCTGGTCGATACCCCACAACCAATGCGTTTATCCCCAAACGTCACTACGAGAAGTTCCACTTTCATGGCAAAACATACGCACTGGTAAGTTTTGTTTTGCTTAAGATTTCTTAATTTTAGTGTTTGCTTCGCTTATAACAACAATTTTTCTAATATTACCTAAAGACGAAAGGCTCCAAAATCCATGACTTATATGGAGGCCTTATTTAGTCGAGAGCTTAGATAGCTTGAACCACGGACAAGGGCATGAACACTACATAATTTGTTCAATACTCTTGAGATATTATAGAATGATTTTTAGAAATACAATTGTTTTTTGTTTGGGTATTGTTTAACAAATTATTAATTATTATATCTTTTTGGCATAGGAGGATACAGTGCTGCTGACTCCAAAGGGCGCAAACAAAAAGCCCTATGTTGCGATCATAAAGGTAACAAAAAAGAAGAAAAAAAATTATAATATATTATTCAGTTTTTACCTTATCATAATCGAATTATGTTATGGACAGGATATTTATCTTTATATACGAGACAAGGAAGAATCTTTGAAGCTACAGGTACAATGGTTTTATCGTCCAGAAGACTTGGACAAAAAATACGTTAGACACTGGAAATCCAAAGATGCAAGGGAACTCTTGTACAGTCTCCATCGCGATGAAGTGATTGCTGAATCTGTGATGAACATTTGCTCTGTGTATTTTGCGCCAGAGGGTAAGCAAATCCCAAACCATGGAGAGTACCCTGACTTCTTTGTGACTTGGTTTTATGATTGTTATATTAAGAAGATTTGTAAGCTCTGTGATATAATTTTCGACGACGACGAGCAACAACAAGAGCTTGATCTTCTTGTGGCAAAGACGATTTCGCAAGCTGGTGATCTTCTTGACATTGAGAAGAAGAAAAAGTTGAGGAGGAAATCAAGGTTGATCAAATCCCACGAGCTAGTTGATCAAATCAAGGTTAGTTACCATTTTTTCCTCGATTTGTTTTTGTTTAATGTTTTTTGTGTGTGCGTCCATGTGCTGCTTGGGAACCCTAGGCTTTAACAGTTATGCCACATTGATGTTTGCTAATTAAATTTTGCATTATATTTGAGTAGAATATGGAATCCATAAGATTTCAGGATCATGATGAGATGAACATAATTTTTGAAGAATTTATTACATCATCCCTTACGAAATATTATCATTTAGGTCTTACTCTGGTGCTTCTTAAGGTTTTATCAACTAATGTCATTTAGGAATTTGTTACATCATCCTTTATGAACTAATATCAACCTCTATGGAATTTGCAGACCTATCTCTAATTTAGTTTAGGTGTACTCGTAGAAATATCTTATCAGAAGGCAAAACACACGCCATAAGCAATAACATGGGTTCATATTAGAGCTATGATATTGCTTGACCATAAACAAAACTTGTTCTCTAAGATATTATTGATATTATCTTAGTTAACATCAAGTTGAACATCGTACAACCTACACGAAGATTCTTGTTTATACTGCAAAAAATTTGTAGAAGTGTTAACAAGTTTTTTTTTTTTTTTTTTTTTTTTTTTTTTTTTTAAACAAGACATGTTTTTATTATTTTAGAAACGGTTACAGCTATGACCATGGTCATACAGATTTTAAAAGCAGATACAAGTTGTGAAAAAGATAGGGGAACATAATAATGAACCATAAAAAAACCGAATCTTCCGCTTCGAACCGAAGTGTTAACAAGTTTGTACAAATAACATTTTAAGTTAGGTTTTTCTTTTTTGTCTTGATAGGACGGTCTCAGTGTTGATGAAGGAACGGCTAACAATGAGGAGACAATAGGATCAACGTCTGAAAGTGTTAACTCTGATTCTTATCTCAACGATTTTTGATATCTTGATCTTCATTTTGTTTGATAAAATCTCTAGAGGGGTTTTTCCTAGAGTTGTCTTTCAATTTATGATGTAGATCATGACTTTTTATCTAATACTTCAGTTATTGAAGTTTAGGTACTTTTTTTTTGGATTTTCAATAATTACATTTACATGTGTGATCATGTATTCAATTGGATTATGAAGATTGTTTTTTTTTTAAGAAAAGCATGGTGCTTTGAAATGAGGGGTTGTTTCACTTAGACCCAAAATTGTGGTCAAATGCAAAACTAACCTCCTGTTTTTTTCATTTTAAGTTTGTCCAGTTTTTTCAATTAATTACGGGAATGCCATTACTTTTTCGATTGGTAGACCGATATTTAGGTCTACCAAATCTGCTGAAAGACCAAACACCCCTCATCTTCTACACTTAATTGCCAAAATGCCATATCATCAATGTTGACAACCACCATTTTTACCCAATTTGGAGCTGTTAATGCTCTGAAAACTCACTTTAGAGCTAGCATTTCTCCTTCTTTCATCTCACAAACTCTTATTCTTCCATTTTCTCTCCATTTTCATCCCAAAAACTTAAAAGAAAACTCAAATCTTGGGTCTTGGCATTTCCAATTGTTTAGCTTACAGTGATGAACTGGAACTCGTAATTGAAGACATAAATTGAAGTTATCAGCCCTCGAAGAGCCTTTCTCCGACGGCCAGTAACTTTTCTTTCAAAATTTAAGAATTTCAGTTTTGGTCTGCGAAGGTAGGTCTACCATTACATAGTAGACCTAGTTTAGGTCTACTGGTCAACGCAGAGTTGACTGTACCATTTCCTTTGCAAACAAAAAAAATGAGTGGTAGACCTACACTTAGGTCTACTCCACGTGGAGGGTTAGTTTTGCAATTGATTGAGAAAAATGTTTTTTTTTAGGTCTACCTTGTCGGTCTACTCCACGTGGAGGGTTAGTTTTGCAATTGATAGAGAAAAATGTTTTTCGGAGGTCTACCTCTTAGGTCTACCTAAAAAAAAAGTTGGTTTTGCCGTTGACTCAAGTTTGACTTTCCTCAAAAAGGAGAGATTTTGCGTCATTGAGGTCTACCGTGTAGGTCTACCATCGGTAGACCGCAGTGAGGTCTACTGGTCAACGCAAAAAACTGAGGTCTACCACGGAAGTCTACCCGAGGAAAGTCAAACTTGAGTCAACGGCAAAACAAACTGTTTTCGGTAGGTAGACCTAAGGCGTAGACTAATTAAGAGGTCTACTTTTTTTGGTAGACCGATTGAGAGGTCTACGTTTTCTGGTAGACGTACACGGTAGACCTCGTGTAAAAGTCAACGTTTGGTCAATTGCAAAACTAACCCTCCACGTGTAGTAGACCGACAAGGTAGACCTCCAAAAAAACATTTTTCTCGATCAATTGCAAAACTAACCCTCCACGTGGCCGTCCACGTGGAGAGACCTAAGTGGAGGTCTACCATGAACGTCTACTCCGAACGTCTACGTTTTAGGTCTATTATTATGTGTTTTTTAAAATGTCGTTTTCCTTTCAATATATCAAATATTTTGAAATTTTCTCGAACAATTAGTTGTTTTTATTTGTTTACTTGCTTCTGTGTGAGTTTGAAATGTTCTTTCGGCGTAATTAAGGCTATATTCGGTTTTCTTTTGAATTAGGTATCTAGCTTAATTTTTCTGGTAGACCAAATTGTGGGTCTACCTTGTCGGTCTACCCTTCTGTCTACTAATCCATTTTGTGATCTGGTTTGTTTTTGTTGCAGGTAATGGTTTGTCTAGCTTCCGTTTATGGAAAATGGATGGTGATGGAAGACAAGTCATGGCATTTTGAGATGGACAAAGGAAAAGGAGGGAGAATGTTCTACTTACGGGATGGTTGTACACATAAGGAGCCTCTTAGAATGGAACAAGCTGACTATATGTTGGATATGGAAGCAGACATGGTGGAATTATCTTATCAATTACCAATGTGATGCTCCATCAAATACCCTCAGACTTTCCTCATATGTACATCACCAACGATGGAGGTTCATAGCTTGATAGAGTTTATAGTTGTTCGAAGTGCAGCAACCGGGACATATCCGCCTTCATTGCGTAAGCTAATGACAACTCACAGTGTGTTCATGGTTTCTGTTTTTTTTATTACATGAGTTTTATAAAATTGGATTTTGAACTGATGTAGATGAACAACACAGAGATAGACTGAAAATAAGGTCTACTTTGGAAAGGTAGACTAAATATGAGGTATAATTCGGAGAAGTAGACTGATAATAAGGTCTACAAATGCAATCTACAACTGAGATCTACGTAGTAGATCTACTTTGTGCTGTTTTCAAGGTTTTTTTACTATGTCTCTAGAGACACTTATATGGTATAGACAATTACTAAAGCTATGGTATCATTACCAGTATTGAGTTAAGTCTTTATGTGTGTTTATTTTCTCTTTTAAAGATGAAAAATTAGTGATAAAGAGAAGCTTAATCAAAAATCCTATCTTCCCTTAGTAATTTGAACGTTGAAAGATTGCTTTTAATCAAGACAAAATCCAATTTAAGCAAACTTTTTCATTAATAAACCAAAAACATGTCTTACATCATACCAAAACAAGTGTTACAAAACACATGCATACATACACAACAAGAAACTAAACTACAAGCTCAGATGTTAATTTTCTTAATCTTTCCTTTTGTTTCCTTCACACCTCTTCTGTTATATTTATAACCTCTTGGTGCAAACTGTATGGTCAAAGCTTCACCCTTTCGAGCATCTGTACTGCTATTTTGGCTAGAAAACACAAACGAAAGCCAATTGAATTTTCAGCTTACATAATCCGGTAATTCATTGCAGCTGTCTGTAATCACAAAGAAGAAAAACACAGATTAACATACTTCTCACTTGTTCACTATGAATACACTAGAAAGACATTTATGTGTATCTCTACTACACACCTCTGAGACACGACTGCATCGTCACCCCAATTCAGATGAATCCATTTTGTCACACTCAAACTGCATCACAGAGAAACATGCAACTTTCAGTCTCAGCATAAGACAAACAAGACAGAGGACGTTTTGGTTGCAATAACAGATTTGCTATCTTTATAGTTGAAGGACCAAATGAGATTAAAATGGTGAAAGGTCTTACCTGTTTTTCTTCTGTGAATCCACCAAAGCCGGATTAAAATGGTGAATGGATCAGAGAAGCTTCCTTCGACTTTCTTCAAGAACACTGACTCGTCACCATCTTCACTAAACGGAACCTGAATCGACAAACCCAAAGCCTCTTGAGCGTCCGGTTTTCTGGTCCCACCATCTCTACAAAAAACAGAAGCACAAGATAATGAGATATAACATTTCCATGGAATGTCTAAACAAATAAGCTTAAAGCCCTGTAACTTACGAGCAAGTGTTGTAGGCAGAGAAGCTATCAAACAATGTTGCATCGGTAATTTCTGGACTGAGATCTCCAACAAAAAATGTTGAAATGACCTAAATTTCAAGGAACAAAACACAATTGTTCAGCATCAACAGGAACCATCAAGAAGATGAATATAATGAACTCCTTTAGCAGCTAAACCATGAATATACTACACATAACAGGAAACATCAAGAAATAAGCAAAATCCAAGAGACCAAGAGCTACATTTTTGAAACAAAAAAAACTATCACAAAATAGCACATGTAGCTAAAAACAGAAGCACAGCAAACAACTACATTCCTATTTCAAGCTAAATTCACATCTGCATATTCAAATTCGCCACCAAAACTCACAAAAAGTTACATCTCAGCTAAAAGGAAGAAGAGAAACAGACCTTCACAAAGCCGGAACCATCCTCACCGTCACGAAACCACAAAGCGTATCGTGAAACCTCTCACACCAATTCTAGTCCGCTTCAATCTCTTCTGTGCTCGAGCCTCGGACCCTCATTTCCCTTGAGCTTTTAAAGCTCAAATATAGAAAAATAGACCAATATGTTATCTTGCAACTTAAATCTGATTTAAGTATGTTATGGAAATAAGATTAACGGCTTACCAAGGCATACGACGGCGGCTAGAGACTGGACGGTAAAGGATGGAGGAAGCCCGAGAAGGTGAGAGACGCATTGAATAGGTGGAGACAGGTCGGACGGGAAGCACCAGAGGCGGAGGCTCATTTCAAAATTTCGTCGGCTTACCATATCAGCAAAGGACGAAGGAGAGGCGGCGGAGGTTCAAGGCGAAGAGAGAAGAGAGAAGCAAAACTTTAGATCTAGAGGATTTCAGAGTAGATCTGAGAAAACAGAACCTCCATCTATCACAGATCGAGATAGAAAAGCTTCAGATCTGATTTGGTATCAGAGAAGGACGAAGAAGAAGAAGAAGAAGATGGCGAGAGGGAGATAGTGGCCACAATTCACGGCGAGAGAGAGAGAAATAGAGGCGGCGAGAGAGAGATCGCGCGGCGAGAGAGAAAGAGAGAAAGCAGAGATATTTTTCATTTCTTAACAAAATTAGGGTTTTTTTTCTTTTATACATGGACAAATTTTCCGGTTTAAGTAAAAAGTTCCGGTTCAATTGAAAATTTTGATTCAATTAATTTTGGGTTATGCCTCTTAATAAGGTCTACAACTACCGTCTACCACGAAAATTTCGGTTCCCGCCTCTTTGGTTTGAAATTTTGGGATTCCCGCTAGGTTAAAATGGTAAGTAGACCTATATTGCGGTCTACTAACTTATTCTACTGAATAAGTCTACTTTACCCTAAACCCTAAATTGACTAATTTAGATATAATTTTGCAACAATTTGCCTATCATATTGCCAATTTACAGTTTAGATAACAAATAAACGAACATTGAATTGCAAAACCAATCAAAAACAATTATTCATCTAGAAAATTTCTAAACCCTACAACTTACACCATTAAACCCTTAACAATCTACTCAAACTCTTATCCTAATGAACTATATACTCATGATATTTATAGATTCATGCATTTTTATGATATTTTATTTTTAATAGATGTTAAATGTCTATTATTTCGTTATTTGTGAAAAAGATCTTTCAAATTATGTTTTTATATTTTCTTAATTTAAATTTAAGATTTGATGATTTCGTAGACCTACTTGGTAGACCTCCCATGGTTTTATAGGCTTTTAACCTTAGTTTTTTCATTGTTCAATTGGTTCAAATCTATGAATTTATATTTTATATAGATGCAAGTTGTTTATATTGTATTTATGTATAAAAAAATTTCATCAAAGTATTTTTTTACAAACTTTATAATTAAAATTAAAATGTAATGACATAACAGACTTACTCGGTAGACCTCACACATTTTTATAGTACTATTTGCTTATCTATAAATAATTCATTTGTATGCATTCATATTTTTGGTAGTTAATAATGTCTATATTATAATTGTTCATACATATTTTTTGTATACAAATATTTTTTATTGAATTGTTAATTAAAATTTAAGATGTTATTACTAGGTAGACCTCCAATATTGTCTACCAGGTAGATCTCCGCGATAGATCTACCAGGTCCGGAGGTTAAAATCGTAATCGAGGTTAAAATCGTAATCGAGGCATGCGTTTTTTTGTTTGGTCATGAGGGAGTCTAGGGTAATTTTACTACCCATAGAGGTTAGTTTTGCATTTGATTCAATTTGTAGTCTAGTTGATTAGAAAATATTAAATTGTGGTTTAGAATTGGTAATTTCCCCTTGAAATGACTCTTAGTGCTTGTTTAAGTATTTACAGTCCATTGAATAGATTTGGTTTAAGAGTACTAATGAAATGACGACTGTGAAAGCAGCTAGCTTTTTGTTTTTCCTTTAGATAATACAATTTCTTGCAAGTCAAAGTCAATTAGAATTTCAAGAATCTCATCTAAAACCATGGTATATTTTGATTCTAAACACCTTAAAATCACTAGAAATAACCTAAAAATCCACTTCATAGTTTAACTTCATACTTTATCTCCTAATTTCTTTTCCCAAAAATCAGTATGTTTTAATTTGTTCGCTTCTTCGGTTCCATTAAAATCTAAGCATTTGATTCAAATGAAATATTCTCGAACATGTGTAAAATTACATTTACAATCTAATTAATATGGTACAAAATAATACTTGCTATGTTCTTAATTGTAAAGAAATATTAGTATACATGTACTATACATGGATATTTTACATATAAATTTGTTTTTCATTTGCTGATGTGGATATGTTAAATGGGAAGAAAACTCTCCTATTATGTTAAAGATTAATATTACTTATTTTTAAACTAAAAGATATCAGATACTTTATATTTATTACCTATTTTGTGTGTTTTTCGTAATTGTAAAGAAATATGAGCATACATGTACTACATGATTAATTATTTTATATATAATTTAGTGTTTTTTTCTTTTCAAATATGGATATACTAGGTAGTTGGCCCGCGCCTGCGCGGGCAAGAGATGTTTTAGAACTCTAAATCCTTTCAATTAATATTAGATGAACGCATTTTCTTTTTAATTACTTTTCATATTTTTGTAATGTGTTTATTTTCCAAAGAAGTAATAGCTTAACATTTTGTTAATTTGATACGAACTTATAAATTGTGAAAGATATAGAAAACAAATATAGTTAAATTTTGTAATGGTTGTTTTCTTCTCCCTCTTATTCTTTTTCACTGATCCCATCTTTTTTTCTCTTCCATTTTTTATTCGTTGTCATCATCTTTTTTTTTCTGCTTCTTCTTTTTCCAATTTTTGTTCTTCAATCATTTCTTGTGTCTTCATATCCTCCAACTTACTATTCTTCTTTTTCTTTCTAATTTTCTTTAAATTCTTTTTACGTTTTTTCTTCTTCCTGATTCCCCTCACTCTCTATCTTTATCATCTCGTCTTTTCTAACATCATCTTATTCTAGTTTTTATTTATTTCTTATTTGTCTTTTTTTCTCTTCACATTTCATTTTTTCTTCTTTGTTTTCTTTTTCCTCTTCGAGTTTTCTTCTTCTTCTCGAAGTTTCTCATCTTCTTTTCCACCGTCTTCTTTTATTCTACTCGTGTTTTTATTCCTTCTTGTCTACGTCTTATATTTCACTTATCAATTCATTCTGTAATTTAGATTTTCAAGGATTCGTGAAATAGTTTTTATTTTATATTGTCGAGATCTTTTAAAATCTAATTAATTTGTATTGTTATCTTTTGATTATGGTTATGCTTTCATTGTTTTAGTTTTTTTTTCTATTTGTGAGTGTATTTTAGAATGGTAGATATAAATTTATAATCATTGATTTTTAATTTTGATATACTTTTATAATAATTCAAATTTTTTAAAATGCAACAAAAATTAAACCCTACACCCATCAATATAAACCCCAAACCCAAACTCCGTATTATAAACTCCTCCTCCCCCTAATTAAAGAACCTACACCCTAAACCCAAATCCACATTATAACTCCCCCCTCAACTTCATATTATAAATTAGTTTTAGATTTGCTTTTATTTTTATTTTATTTATAAATCTTTTTTTTAATGGTTGTTTTCTTCTCCTTTAATTCTTCTCTAGTGATCTCATCTTCTTCTTTTTTCTTCCATTTTTTTATTCATTGTCATCATCTTGTTTTTTCTGCTTCTTCTTCATCTTCCAATTCATTGCTTTTATTTTTAATGGTTGTTTTCTTCTCCTTTTTATTCTTCTATAGTGATCCCATCTTCTTCTTTTTTCTTCCATTTTTATTCATTGTCATCATCTTTTTTTTTTTCTGCTTCTTCTTCATCTTCCAATTTTTGTTCTTCAATCGGTTCTTGTGTCTTTATATCCTCCAACTCACAATTCTTCTTTTCTTTCTAATTTTCTGTACATTCTATTTCCGATTTTTCTTGTCCCTCTCTCTCTCTCTCTCTCTCTCTCTCTGACATCATCTTATTATAGTTTTTATTTATCTCCTCTTCGTATTTTTTTTCTTCACATTCCATTTTTTCTTTTTCCTCGTGTTAAAGTTTTCTTCTTCCTCTCAAAGTTTCCCATCTTGTTTTCCATCGTCTTCTTTTCTCTTACTATTGTTTTTTGTCTTTGTCTACGTTTTGTATTGCACTTATCAATTCATTCGATAGTTAAGATTTTGTTAATTCATGAATTCAGTTAATATTAGATTAACGCATTTTCTTTTTAATTACTTTTCATATTTTTGTAATGTGTTTATTTTCCATGGAAGTAATAGTTTAATATTTTGTTAATTTGATAAGAACTTATAAATTGTGAAAGTACAAAAACATTAGTTAAATTTTGTAATAGTTGTTTTCTTCTCCCTCTTATTCTTTTTCACTGATCCCATCTTTTCTTTTTCTTCCATTTTTTTATTCGTTGTCATCATCTTTTTTTCCCACTTCTTCTTTTTTGAATTTTCATTCTTCAATCCTTTCTTGTGTCTTTATATCCTCCAATTTATTATTCTTCTTTTTCTTTCTAATTTTTTTTTACTTTCTTTTTACGTTTTTTCTTCGTCCTCCTTCCCCTCACTCCCTATCTTTTTTTTTTTTTTTGTTCAAACGATAATTTCATTAATTAGAAATTTACTCTCCAACTGCCAAAAAGGCACAGAGAGAGAGTTTTGCACTTGCGTCTGCCAAAATATTGGCTTTTCGAGGAGTTGACACAAAGGTTACAGATCGAAAAAGCAAAGAAAGATAGGAGATATCTTGTAAGATTCCATAAATCTCGGAAAGGGGATCGCCGGAGTTGATCGCTGTGATTACTTGGGCTGAATCGGAAGCTACATGCAGACTGGTAAAACCCAGATCTAGGGCCTGATTTAAAGCTAGACGGATTGCCATTCCTTCCGCTACAATTGGGGATCCAATATGTTCCATCGCCTTCGATCCCTGTCCGATTAGCTTTTGATCTTCGTGAAAAGTCCACCCCATGCCTCCTGCCTTTCGTTCTTCGTTCCAAGCGCCATCTGTATGGCACTGGATCCCGATCGGTGGCATGGTTCTTATAGATCCCGCTTTCTGCGTTGATACTCGTTGTTCCCCTTGCGCTGAGGTCCATTCCCGAGCTCGAATCAGCGCCAGGTTCAGGGTTTCCTTTGCGGATGTTCTTCTGTTGCTGAAGATTTTACTGTTCCTGCTCAGCCATATACTCCAAAGGATCCAGGGAGCCAGAGTGCCTCCATCGATCCCAATTGGTGGTAAACAAGTTAGAGTTTTGAGCTTCGATATTCCTTCTTTCACGCTCGTGAAGCTCTGTTCTTCAACCGGATTTCGAAAAGGTGCGTGGTCCCAAACTGCTTGGGTAAACGGGCAAAGGAACAGAAGGTGGAGCGTGGTTTCCGCTTCCCCGCAGTGAGTACAACGAGACTGCGACATGATCCCTCTCATCGCTAGATTCTCTCCTACTGGTAACGCCCCTTGAACTGATTTCCATAGAAAAAGCTTGAGTTTTGGAGCGAATTTACCATTCCATATATCTGTAATCCAGTGGAAGTTATCTTGTGTTCCTGCAGCTTGTTGATCCGTTAACGATCGGCCTCGTGCCACGTAGTACCCGGTTTTAACTGTGTATTCGCCATTTCTTTGCGGGAGCCATGCGAGTCTATCCTCTACTTCATAAGATCCAGGTATGATACAGAGGATTTCCTCTTTACAACTTGGGAGTAGGACATTTATCAGCTCTTCATTCCATCTTCTAGTGTTTGGAATAAACAGATCTGCCACTTTAAAATCTTTGAACTGTCTTGGTGCTGGTCCCATAGGTCTTTTAGGTTCCTTAGTTGAAAGCCAAGGGTCGTCCCAAACGCTTGTTTTCTTCCCGTTACCAATAATTTTCCCCAACTTTTCCTTGAGCAGGTCACGACCTATGATAATTCCTTTCCATCCATGAGAACCACCTTCTCCCAATTTGCTTTCCAAAAAGGTTGTGTTGGGGAAGTACTTTCCTTTGAGGATCCTGGCCAGTAGACAATCAGGGTTCGAGAGGATTCTCCAACTTAGCTTACTCAGAAGGGCATCATTGAAATCCTGGAGATTTCTCAATCCGAGTCCTCCTTCTCTTTTTCCCCGTGTAAGCTTATCCCACGCAATCCAGCACATTTTTTTCTTTTCTGGGTTGTCATCCCACTAGAAACGTGTTAACACTGATTGTATTCTCTTGCATAGATTCACAGGGAGCTTAAAACAAGACATTGAGTACGTTGGCATTGCAGATAGGACCGATTTGAGGAGAACCAGTTTGCCGGCACTTGATAAGAGCTTTGATGACCAAGATAGGGCTCTTTGTCTGATCCGATCCACCACCGAATTGAACAGATCTTTCTTCCTTCTTCCAAATGCTTCTGGGAGTCCAAGGTACTTTCCTGTACCTCCCTCTTGTTTGATTCCTAGAGCGTTCATTACCTTCCTCTTGGTTGCTTGAGGAGTCTTTTTGGAAAAAGTTATGGCCGATTTTTGACAGTTTATCTTTTGGCCTGAAGCTTCTTCGTATTTGCCAAGAATCTCTTTCAAACTTTCGCATGTTTTTTCATTTGATTTGCAGAAGAACATGGTGTCATCTGCACAGAGAAGATGATTCACTTTTGGACATCTAGTTGCAACTCTCACTCCTTCTAGCTTTCCATTAACTTGTGCCTGTTGACAAAGGCCGGATAGGACTTCGCTGCACAGTATAAATAAGTAAGGTGAGAGTGGATCGCCTTGCCTTATTCCTCTTGTTGGCTTTATATGTCCCTTTGCCGATCCATTGATGAAAATTTGAAACGAAACTGAGCTCACGCATTGCATAATCCATCCAATCCACTTTGGATGAAAACCCATTCTGCCTAACACAAGCCGTATGAATTCCCATTCAACTCTGTCATAGGCCTTTTTCATATCTGTTTTTATGGCCATTGATGCTCTTTTCTTTGCCTTGGAAATCTTCAGGAAATGGAGAATTTCGTGGGTTATCATGACATTGTCAGATATTGCCCTTCCTGGCACAAATGCTGATTGGTTTTCAGAGAATATCCCATCGAGAAGTGGATGCAATCTTGCGGTAAGAATTTTTGAAATTATCTTATAGTACACGTTACATAACGCTATCGGCCTATAATCAGCCACTGACTTTGGTGCAGTTTTCTTCGGAATTAGGCATAGATGAGTAGCGTTGATTCCTTGAGGTAGTGTGCCCGTGATGAAGAATTGTTGAATCTCGCTTGTAATCCCTGCACCAATAGTGTTCCAGTTGGAGTGGAAAAAACTGGCTGACAAGCCATCTGGTCCCGGCGCCTTATCTGGGTGTATGGAGAAAATCGCTGTGTTTACTTCTTCCGGAGTTGGGATTTGAATGAGGCGTCTGTTTGTTTCCTCCGAAATTCTGGGAGTAATGCTTTGGAACACTGTTTCTGCTCTATTCCCGGCTTGAGAGGTAAACATCTTCTGGAAGTAGCTAGTGATTACATCCTCTATTTGCTTTTCTTCAACAAACGTTTTTCCTTCATCGTCTTCTATTACCGTGATGTTGTTTCTTGCTCGTCTGCCTCTTGTTGCAGCATGGAAATAGCTGTTGTTCTTATCTCCTATACTGAGCCACATTTGCCTGCTACGCTGTCTCCAGTATTCTACTTCCGCTTGGTAAGCTTCTTTTAGCTCTTTGTTAATCTGGAAAATGACGTTGTCATTACACTCATCATTGGACATCGCCTCCTCTAACTCCCGTCTTTTCTCTTCTATCTTCTTTTGACTGTTTATATAGTGATTCCGACTCCACTGGATGATAGCTCTTCTACAACTTGATATTCGTTGGTCAACCGATCCTCTGGGGTTAGTGTTCCAAGCTTTTTCTATTAACGCCGATACTTCTTCGTTATTCCGTAGACGCATGTCATACCGGAATAACCCTCTCTTCCTTTTTTTATCTTGATGGAACAGAGTGAGTATAGGTCTGTGGTCTGACCCCTCGAAGTGCAGATATTCACTTCTTCCCGAAGGGTAAGCTTCAATCCAGGTACTATTGGCCATCGCTCTGTCTAGTCTGCACTTTACTTTGTGCTTGTATCTAACTCCACTCCATGACAGGAAATTGCCCGAGTATCTCAGATCATACAAATCGCATTCTGACATGAACGACCTGAACTCCACGAAAGATCCTTCTGCTCTGGTTGGACCTCCTGATTTCTCTGTATTGTCCAGTATCTCGTTGAAATCTCCGGTGAGAAACCACGGGGCCTCTCTTCCTGCTGCCTGTTCTTTTATTGCATTCCATATCTCAGCTCTCTTGGATTTATCAGGTTCGCCATAGACAAAGGTGGCCATGAACATCTTCCCTTTTGATGTTATTTCTGTGTCAATGAAGTTGTCACACTGGAATAAGATTTTAACATCCAACTCCTTTTTCCATAGCAGTGCCAGGCCTCCTCCACCTCTTGCGTACGTGAAAACAAGATTTTTAGTAGATCCAAACCCTCAAATCTCTGCTCATATCATTGCAGTATAGTTTAAGGTATCAATCCAAATCTCAGGAGAAGATTGGGTTCTAAAGATTAACAAGAAAACTTCAAGCCAAGAACAAGATTTGGTTTTTATGAAATCCGAACGTTAAACAGTAAAATACAAACTTAGAACAGTGAAATAACGGTCCAAATCAAGATTCAAAGAGGAAAGAAATCGACTTTGAGCTAAAAGACTTGAACTTTATAAGGAAAATGAAGAAAGGCGATGGCTTTAGGTGATTTCGGATGAAATCGAGCTAAAGGAAGAAGCTTTAAGACTTAAAGATAAAACCGAGTTTCTAGGCTAAGGAAAACGAAAGCAAGAGCTTATCACTATCGTGAATGAGCTCGAATGCAAGGTCCAAACTCAAGAGCTGACTATCGTCAGTGAGCTTGTACACAAGCAAGCTTTAAACGCAGATCCCATCACCAAAAAGCTCTAAACAAATCGCTATCGCGAGCTAGAAAGCGGATCCCTTGTCTTAGATTATCTAGCTCTCAAACACACTTTTGATGTGTTGAGAGCTTGAGATCTGAGCCAAGATGATCAGAAATGACTCAGCCTTAAGGGCACTAAGCAAGGAGAAACTCTAAAGGTCCTAGCTTTAAGCTCAAACTCTCCTTTAAAGCTCTCAAAACCGAATCACCTAAAACGATCTAAAGACTACTCACTCATCCTGTTTGACAACCCGATTCTCATAAGAGGAAGGTTGTTTCAACAAGTAAATGTGGAAATAATGAAATAAAAGTACGTGATTTGATTAAGAGAAAGAGACCAAAGCTTACAAAGTCTAGATCTCAACTAGAGTATTTCTTGGTGGCAAAATGAAAGACAAATTACAAGATGCCTAAAAACTTAGGACTTTTTAGTTTATATAGTGGAGACTCTAAAACCCTTCTTCTTTCCTTCCCCAAGATTTAAGCTCCAAAACGCCGCGTTTCACTTAAGGCATGGTCAACTCTCTTCTTGGTCAAGGAAAGGTGACAAACGGGTTCCTGATCCTGGTTCGCATCCTGGTTGCTCTTCGTCTTGACGTCTCCACACTCCTTCTCCCAAATGGCTCCAAAGCTCCATTAAGCACCTGATTCAGACTCAAAATGCAATGTATATGCAATGCAAGTCCTAATGAAGATGCAAGTGTATAGATAGAGATATATGGATATAAATGTATGAGAATGAGCCAATAGGTGGAAATATGCATGTAAAATGTATGCTAATGTATGTTAATATATGTGTATATCAACACCCCCAAACTTGAATCTTGCTTGCCCTCAAGCGAGAAGACCAAATCTGAGATGCTGATATGTCGAGGACTCAAAACTCAAGAGTGCAATGAGAGGAAATGAAGTCAATGATCAGGTTGAGAATCATAAAATGCAAGGCGAATGAGCTCTACTTCCAAAATTTTAGCCACACCCATCAAAGCAACAGAAACACTAGACTCAACTTCCACAATGCATTCAAATAGCTCTCATCCTTTAACATTCAATTATAACAGAACCGTGAATCAACCACTTATGCATTTCAAAGACTCGCTTGGCTTAAAGGGATAAGCTTCAAAGGACAAAGATGGTCCTGTTTTCTGGTTTCAAAATCAGCACAAGGGATCTCTCAAAGAAGGTTGAGCTTTAGTAGAATGCTAAGGGTGAAAACCAAGGATGATACAAGGCTAGACTTCCATCTACCCAAACAATGAAGCCCCCCTGTTTCCCAAGATCCTATCTACCCAAGAAAGCTTAACTCTTTTACCTTTTTCTTTTCTTTTCTTTGCTTTCAAGCCTTAGGAGAGGTTTCTAAACTTCATCTAGCGGTTTGGGATCTTCCTTTTGTTTGGCTTTTTAGGCTCTTTTCTAAATTGGCTTTTGCCTTTCTTTTTTTTTCTAGCTAGAGCTTTTTCTTATTTCTTTCCCAAACCTTCACTAGAGCACACTTTCACTACTCTCTCCTAAGGGACTCGGCTTAACTTTTTCTTCCCTTTTTAGGACTTTCCTTCGGAACTCTTTCCCTTTTCTTTCTTTTCAGAACTTCCCCAAGCCCAAATGGTGTTTCCCCCAAACTTAGTCCTAACTAGCTCAAAGGACCGAGCTAGAATCTACATGGAAGCCTAGACCTTGTCGGTAAAAACCCAACACTTTCTACCAAGCTCAACCAAAAAGGCCTTACACACTCAGAAATAACAACTTGGTTTCAAAGAAAGGTTGGTTCAAGGTGGGGAAATCTACTTGGATTAACAAGAGTGGTGAAAAGGGTGAAAGATAATCCAAGTATGTATATGTATCCGCGAGTTCTTAGCAAATGCACAAGGATGATAATTAACAATCAAATTCAGGTTTCGATAAGCAGGATGAGAGATCAAATCACAACAATGCTTCAGCCGATTCTAGATGTCAAAGAGTGCATTCAAGGTGTGGTTCTTTCTTAACTTCAAGCTCACTCTATATGCACCAAATGATTCAAAACCGGACCATTGAAACCATTTCGAAAAATCACAAACTTTTATTCCTCATTGTCCTCTATGCAAATGGGATGATATGCATCTAGACTCAATCCTAAAATGCAAATGCTCATGATGCTTTTCTTTTTGAGAATGCAATTTTCGAAATTTTTCAATTTTTTTGGTTTTTCTATGCCATATATGCAAATGCAAACTACATGAGACTCAAGGATGAAAATTGAAAATAAGAAAACAGAAAACATGATCAAATGCTATGGACCTCTCCCCCAAACTTAAAGTGCACAGTCTCTTGTGCACAAAAGAGTATGAAGAAGAGATCCATCAAAGAGATGCAAAAACAAAGAAAAAAAAATAAAAATGAGTGGTATTTACAATGGATTTGAGTCTTACCTTATTCGTTGTCAGGGTAGGGTGGTGTGGGACAATCGTCAAGGTCGATTGGCTCTGTTGAAGACGTTGGAGGTGGTGATGCGCCGGTTTTTCTCTTCCGCTTGCTTCTCCTTAACGTTGGCTCCACGGTTTTGCTTGGTGATGCGGCCTTTGTTGCTTTTGGTGACTGCAAGAGAGCTTCTCCTTGAGAACATTGACTGTCTCGGTGAGCTTCTTGATCACCTCATCTTGTTTCTTGCACCACCTTTGAAGCATGCCTATATGCTCGTGTGCCTTGATGATCGCGGACGCTTCCACTCGCGTTGTACGGGATGAAGTCGAACTCACCAAGCTCACTCGCTTGTCCTTGAGGAAGGCTCTCCTCGTTCACGCCCTTGCTTCCCGACCGTTGCATCGCCTCCATCCATAAACAACTGATCAGCCGAGGGGAGAAACAGGATTCCATCCCGGCTGTTGGTGTTTGTAAGATCGGTGTTCGGAAGAAGGATCTTTGAGATGCCAAACGAGGGATGCTCGAAGCGATAGATGTGCTTCCCATCATGCATTCCACGCAAGAACCAGTCTTGTTCAGGTGGGCAATGTCGATGAACTTGGGTGGATGAGAAGGGGCCGGGAGCTTGACTTTTGTAGCAAGAAGGATAGGAGTGATCAAGCTACCTATTGCCAAGTGAGACTCCTTGATCTTGCCTTGCTCGTACAAGCAGCTCTGCGTTCCTCATTACATGTAGAAGGAGTTCACCAACACGACTGCCTTGCTCGTCTCTCGCAAGTCTCCTTTCATCTCGGTTCCATCATCCAGAGTTTGAGCTTCTGGATTATCCCTTCATCAAGTAGCTCGAGCTCTTGCGTCGTGACGTTTGAGCAGTCATGTCTAGCAAAAGGGTATTGGCGATCACCTTGTGGGCATAGCGTATCGCCGGGTTCTTGATGCAGCCGCTCTTGTTGCTGGAAATCTGATAAGACCTCGAACTTATCATCCTCCACAGCGCATGGAGCTCAGTTGCGGCTACACACACTCGGTGTCAAGACCTCGATCCTCCTCAAGGTTGTAGATGGTCTCAAGCTCCTTCATGCTGAGCAGATACTCTTGTCCCAGTAGAGTGAAGGTGATGTAGCCATCCCATCTCTCTTGAGCTCAGCAGCTGCTCCCTGAGGATGCTTCTTGAGTTTCAGGGAGGCGAGGAACTCTATCGCCGGTTCCCTATATGCCGGGAGAGCTTGCTTCGTGAAGTCTCCGAGCTCGATGTAGTAGAGGATGTCGTTGACGTCCTCCTCAATTCCCAGCTCCTTGATGTCTCCTGGTGTGGGTAGCGCATCGACATGAACTGCATCCTCCTCAAGATACGGATGCGCTCTTGGACCCCATAAGGTCTCGGGATCATCGAGTCATCCATGTCCTGGCCAGCAGTCTCCGGCCATTTCGGACCGACACCTTTGGGCCTCCCTTTCTCTTCCACTATAGTCCATCTTCTTCTTCCCCACGCTTCTCTTCTCTTGCTTCCACATCTCCACTCTGAACCATCCTCACTTTGAACCGGCTTCTTTGTGAACTTTGTTTTCGCCATTGTACCTGAGAAACAAGCAATTCTCAAGGTACGATTAGGCTCTGTTTTAGAATAATCACAAACAATCAAATTCAAAGCTTCGGCTTAAACCAAATTCGATTTTCGATTAAGAACGAGCTCAAAACTTTCAAATCCAACCACTCAAGATCATTTAACAGGAAATTTTAAAAACATGCTGTGAACCTCGAGATTTTAGCTAGAAAAGCTCAAGAACACTTTGAAAAACCTAGCTCGAGATTCACTTCAAGCACGAAATTTCCTACATGCAAACTCGAATTCGATCTAACCTAGTCGCAATCAACCTGGATCTACTCAAGAATAGCAACAAACGGTTTCTCTTTTGAATCCCAAAAAGAAAAAACCGGAAGTGAAAGAGTAAAAACTAAGATCGGATACCTTGATTGGACTGTCGGATTAAGATGAATCGAGTTAAGTTTGATCGAGCGGCGGATTTAAAGAGATTTGAGCTTTGAAATTCGAATTTTGGTTGAGAAACGAAGAAATCCGAGATTTTCGTGTAGAGAGAATCGGGGAAAAAGCTTTTTGAAGAAGAAGAAACCCCAAGTTTTAAAATAAAGGAGAAAAGAAAAGGGTTTCTTCTGATTTTAAAAATTCAAAAAGAAACGGGTCACTTACTGACGCGGGTTGTCATCAAACCGTTGAACCTGACAACCCGTCTGCTTTAGAATTCACCCGGTTAAGCTGAGATTAGAGTCAAAGGAGTGTTGGATTGGGCAGTTGAATCACTTAAGCTCTTGGACAAGAAATGTCTTTATAGAACTGCCCATTTCCAATTCCTTAACTCTCTCTCAGCTTCTTCTTGAATCATCCCTACAAAACACATTAGATAAAAACAAAGCTAGATAAAAATATAAAACTATTTACAAAAGGATAACCATGGGACTTCCTCCCAAGTGAGCTTGTTTTGAGTCCCATAGCTTGACTTTCATTGCCTTTTAGGCTTGGGGTGGATCATGGAGACGGATTGAACTTCCTCTCCAATGCTTTGACTCCCCATGTACTTCTTCAACCGATGACCGTTAACCGTGAACTCACTCCATTGTTGTTCACTAGGGTGATGGCTCCATAAGGCAACACTTCCTTGACTTGAATGGTCCTGACCAGCGACACTTAAGCTTCCCAGGGAATAGCTTGAGCCTTGAGTTGTAGAGGAGCACATCATCTCCCTCCTTGAAAACCTTGGGAGTGATTCTCTTGTCATGGAAGGCCTTAGTTCTCTCCTTGTATATTCGAGAACTCTCATAAGCATCCAAGCGAATCTCCTCTAGCTCGTGGAGGTCCATTTCCCTCTTCTCCTGAGCTGTACTTAGCTCCATGTTTAGGAACTTAATTGCCCATCTAGCTCTATATTCCAGCTCAAGAGGTAAATGGCAAGACTTCCCATAGATCAAAGAGTATGGAGATCTCCCAATGGCGTTTTGTAAGCAGTTCTATAAGCCCACAAAGCATCATCCAACTTCTCTGACCAGTCCTTCCTTGATGAGTTCACTGTCTTGTGGAGTATGGCTTTGATTTGCTTGTTAGATACCTCCACTTGACCACTAGTTTGAGGGTGGTATGGTGTGGCTATCTTGTGCTTCACACCATATTTCTTCAAAAGGTTTCAAACACCTTGTTCACAAAGTGAGATCCTCCATCACTGATCACACATCCTTGGGAAAGATTATAGTCTTGAACAGCTTGAGGACCACTTTGGCATCGTTGGTTGGTGCGGCTATGCTTCACCCATTTTGAGACATAGTCAACGGCGACTAGAATGTAAGTTGCCGTGAGAGGCAGGGTTGAATGGACCAACAAAATCTATTCCCCATACGTCAAACACTTCAACTTCCAAGATAGGATTCTGAGGCATCTCGTTCCTAGCCGTGATGTTCCCTGCCTTTTGACAAGCCTCACACTTAGAGATGAAGGCATGAGCATCCTTGAACATACTTGGCCACCAAAAACCTGCTTGCAACACCTTCTGGACCGTTTTAAAAACCGCAAAATGGCCTCCATAGCTTGACCCGTGGCAATGGAACAAGATTCCCTCAACTTCCTCTTTAGCCACACATCTTCTGAACAAGTTATCATTCCCTTTTCTGAACAAATAGGTTCATCCCAGTAGTAGTGAACCACATCTTTGAAGAACTTCTTTCTCTGATAACCACTCCATCCACTTGGAACTTCCCTGCACACTAAGTAGTTCACAAAGTCTGCGTACCATGGAACCTCTTCTCCTCTTGCTATTCTTGCTTCCTCCAGCCGGCACTTGGTCAAATAGCCTCTATCCACGATCTTAGCAGCCATGAGTTGCTCCTCTGGCAAAGAGTCATCGATGGGAACATCTCCCTCAATCCTCAATCTCGATAGATGATCGGCCACGCTATTCTCGGTGCCTTTCTTGTCGACGATCTCGATATCGAACTCTTGAAGCAAGAGAACCCATCTTATCAGCCTCGGTTTAGCATCTTTCTTGGTGTAGAGATACTTGAGAGCTGCGTGATCGGTGTGAACTATGACCTTTGATCCCACAATGTAGCTCCTGAACTTATCAAAAGCAAACACTACGGCAAGCAATTCTTTCTCGGTCGTCGCATAACGGGTTTGAGCATCATCTAGCGTTCTACTTGCGTAGTAGATGACGTTCATCTTCTTGTCACCTTCTGACCAGCACTGCTCCAACCGCGAAGTCTGAGGCATCACACATTATCTCAAAGGGGAGATCCCAATTTGGAGCTTGGACAATTGGTGCGCTAACAAGGGCTTCCTTGATCTTCAAGAAAGCTTGGCTACACTCTTCATCAAAGATGAACTCTGTTTCTTTGCATAAGAGTCTTGTGAGTGGCCTGCTATCTTAGAAAAATCTTTGATAAAGCGCCTGTAGAAACCCGCATGTCCCAAGAAGCTTCTCACATCCTTAACTGATTTTGGCTCCCCAAGTTGCACCATTACTTCTATCTTTGCCTTGTCCACTTCAATGCCTTTCTCTGAGATCTTGTGGCCAAGGACTATCCCCTCTTTCACCATAAAATGGCACTTCTCCCAATTCAAAACCAAGCCTGTTTCCTCACATCTTTTCAGCACCCTACATAGATTAGACAAACAAGAGGAAAAGGAAGAGCCATAGACCGAGAAATCGTCCATGAAGACCTCAACCATTTCCTCTATTAGATCCGAAAAGATTGAAAGCATGGCTCTTTGAAATGTTGCTGGGGCATTACATAATCCAAATGGCATTCTTCGATATGCGAAGGTGCCATATGGACATGTAAATGTGGTCTTTTCCTGGTCATTTGGATGGATTGGAACCTGGAAAAAACCACTGTAGCCATCCAAGAAACAGTAAAATGGATGACATGCCAACCTTTCAAGCATTTGGTCAATGAATGGCAAAGGAAAATGATCTTTCCTTGATGCAGAATTTAACTTACGATAATCAATGCACATTCTATGTCCAACTATTGTCCTACTTGGGATCAATTCATTCTTTTCGTTCTTGATGACAGTAATCCCACCCTTTTTTGGGACGCAATGTACTGGAGAAACCCAAGTACTGTCCGAAATAGGGTAAATGATTCCTGCATCAAGAAGCTTTCAAGATTTCTTTCTTTACTACTTCTTTAAGATTGGGGTTTAACCTACGCTGATGCTCAATAGATCCCTTTGATTCATTTTCGAGATGGATCCTGTGAGTGCATAGAGTAGGGGAGAGACCCTTGATATCGTCCAGCGAGTATCCAAGAGCTCTCCTGTACTTTCGCAGCTCGACAAGGAGGGTTTCAAGCTCATGGGGGTCTAATGCATCATTGACAATGACAGGGTATGTGGAGTTAGAGCCTAAGAACGCATACCTGAGCCCCTTTGGGAGTGGTTTGAGATCGACTTTGGGAGCCTTGAGCTCAGACCAGTCATCGTCCGTGCCTTGCTCTTGAGAGCTTTCCTCCTTTGGTTTGGACTCTAGAGCAAACAGGTTCTCAACCTGTTTTCCATCCCGGATGCTCTTCGTTTCTGACTGAACCAACTCCTCAAAGCCTGTCCCTCTTTTGCTGCTCTGTGTGAGTCCATAAGCCAAGCATAACCCATACTCTCTGCTTGTAGACATCCAAACTCCTCATTATCCTTAGTCAAAGCCAGCTGCAGCTTATCCTCAACTCCCAATTCCTCCAAGTAGTCTTCGGCTAGCTGCTCAAGTGTTTCAATGTAAAACGACTCACCATTTATAGTTGGTTGCTTCATAACATCTTTTACATTGAACACCATCTTGCAGTCTTTACCCAAATTCAGCTCAATCTTGCCTCTTCTCACATCAATTATAGCTCCAGCAGTGGCAAGGAAAGGTCTTCCCAAAATCAGAGGATCTTTGGGTTCTTCATCCATCTACTACCACAAAGTCAGTTGGAACTATCACACTTCCCACCTTGAGTGGCATATCTTCAAGCATACCTACTGGAAGCTTAACTGATCTATCAGCAAGGATCAGAGAGAAATGACACTCCTTGTATTTCTCAAAACCCAAACGCCTTGCCACAGTCAAAGGCATTATGCTTACACTCGCCCCAAATCACACAAACTTTCTTGAATGCTAAAGGTCCCAAGGAACAGGGAGAGTGAAGCTTCCAGGGTCACCAAGCTTCTTTGTTACTGTCTTGCTTTGAATTATAGCACTACACTCTTGAGACAATACCACCATGCCTTGCACTTCCTTGGTTCTCTCCAAATGGCATCTTTCAAAAATTTCTGATAAGGCTTGATCATCATGAGAGCATCCACAAAGGGATCTTTAAATTGATCTCAGATAGTTGCTGATCAAAAACTTTCTGCATTTCTCTGCCATTTGTTTCTTGAAACGTGTTGGAAAAGGTAGCATTGGCTTGAATGGTGGAGGAACAAAAAGAGTTTCCCTCCTCTTCTTGTTTCCTTTTGACGGCTCCGGTGCGCTGTCCTCTGCTTCTCAGGCTCTACTGACTCTTTCTCAACTCTCCTCAGCTTCAATGTCGACTGACTCCTCCTCCTCTTGAATCGCAACGTCCTCGTTGCGTCTTGATGGTACCACTCTCTCCGGAAGAACTCTCCCACTCTTAAGAGTAATTGCTTGCACATACTCCTTTGGGTTTGCGATTGCTTTTCCAGGAAGCATTCCCTTTGAAGAGGAAGGTATGTTGTGGCTCTTAGCTTCCAAGTGTTGAACCTTTTGTTTAAAGATTCCAACTTCTTGTTGAGGTCATTGTAAGAGCAATCCACCTTGTTGTTGATCTCGGCTAGCTTGGTGTTAGCTCAGTAGCACCACTTGTTTGGCCCTTTGATTAATTGTTGAAGCATGGTCTTCATATCAGTCTTGACTTGAGTTGCTCCCTGCTTGAGCTTGAGTTGAGCCTTGGTTCTGATTCCAAAAACCTTTGGTGGGTAACCACGCTTGAAGTAAACAGTTTGTTGGCCCCCTTGATTTTGGTTTTGTTGAGGTGGGTAGACCTGGTCTTGTGGATTCTCCACATTGGTGCTGCGGTAAGAGAGGTTCGTGTTGTTGTTTGTGTTGTAACCCTTTGTAGTAACCTCCCTGATTACTCATATAGCACACTTCCTCAGTTTGTTGGTCCTCCCCCTCTTGGTTCACATCATCCTCACAAACAAAGTGAACTTGCTTTTGTTGGCCAGTCAAGATCTTGTCAAGCTTGTCATTCAATGTCTTTGATCTCCTTCTTGTGCTTTCATCATTGACTGAGCTATCTCCTCTATCACTTCGATCATACTCCTCTGGATAGTTTCCATCACTAAGAGCAACATTCTCCACCAAAGCGAGCCCATCATCTACATCCATTCCCATAAAATGACCCTTACTAGCTGAATCCAAATGCATCTTGTACTTAGGGGAGATCCTCTGTACAACGTGCTTAGTAAGTTCTCTTTGGAGAAGCCGTGATGAGGACACTTCATTTGATATCCCTTGAATCGCTCATATGCCTCTGAGAATGTTTCACCGGTTTGTTGAGTGAAACTCGCAATGTTGTTCCTTAGCTGAGCAGTTCTTGACGTGGGAAAAACTTCGCAAGAAAGGCATGCTTGCATTGTTCCCAAGTTGTCACGGTTCCAGGTTGGATTGAAGACTCCCAAGCTAGTGCGTGTCCACTCAAAGAGAAGGGAACAATCGGAGCTTAAGAGCATCCTCAGTGACATTGTTGATCTTTTGCAAAGCACAAATTCTATCAAACTTTTCCAAGTGCTTCAAAGGATCTTCATCTTTCATTCCGTGAAAGATGGAATTCTCCACCAAGTTTATCAAGCTTGTCTTGATGTCGAAGTTGAAATTTGGGACCGGTGGTGGGGTAATGCCGGGACGATTCGCTGGAATCGTCGGAATATCGCCAGCTCCGATTTGTCTTGCCGGACGTTGAGCTTGAGCTGGATTCCCGGCTTGTGGTGGAAAAACTCCCGGTGGAGGAGCTCCTCCGTGGTTATCTGCCATCGTCTCAGGACCAGAGTCGTCGTCACTGAGCTGTAACTCGGAGCCTGTCTGAAATCCTGAACTCGACTCTGCTTCTACTCTGTTCTGCCGTTGACGCTCGCGTTTAGCTCGTTCAGCTCGTTGAAGTTCGTCGGAGCTTAACAAGTTTGATTTGCCGCGAGAGCGTGTTTGCATACACCTGAGAGTAAGACAAAGCAAAGCCCAGGCAGATTAGGTGTGTAAGTTGCAGAAATTTAAAAACTTGAACTTGAATTTTTCCAAAATCGAAAAATCCCAATCAAATCCCCAAGATTGGCAACGGCGCCAGTTTGAAAACAAGATTTTTAGTGATCAAACCCTCAAATCTCTGCTCATATCATTGCAGTATAGTTTAAGGTATCAATCCAAATCTCGGAGAAGATTGGGTTTTAAAGATTGAACAAGAAAGTTCAAGCCAAGAACAAGATTTGGTTTTTATGAAATCCGAACGTTAAACAGTAAAATACAAACTTAGAACAGTGAAATAACGGTCCAAATCAAGATTCAAAGAGGAAAGAAATCGACTTTGAGCTAAAAGACTTGAACTTTGATAGAAAATAAGAAAGGCGATGGCTTTAGGTGATTTCGGATGGAAATCGAGCTAAAGGAGAGAAGCTTTAAGACTTAGAAGATAAAACCGAGTTTCTAGGCTAAGGAAAACGAAAGCAAGAGCTTATCACTATCGTGAATGAGCTCGAATGCAAGGTCCAAACTCAAGAGCTCACTATCGTGAGTGAGCTTGTACACAAGCAAGCTTTAAACGCAGATCCCATCACCAAAAAGCCCTCTAAACAAATCGCTATCGCGAGCTAGAGAAGCGGATCCCTTGTCTTAGATTATCTAGCTCCTCAAACACACTTTTGATGTGTTGAGAGCTTGAGATCTGAGCCAAGATGATCAGAAATGACTCAGCCTTAAGGGCACTAAGCAAGGAGAAACTCTAAAGGTCTAGCTTTAAGCTCAAACTCTCCTTTAAAGCTCTCAAAACCGAAACACCTAAAACGATCTAAGACTACTCACTCATCCTGTTTGACAACCCGATTCTCATAAGAGGAAGGTTGTTATACAAGTTAAGTGAGTTTCCTCAATCTGGAGTCACAGAGGTACATTTCGGACTCCTTACCTCTTGGTTCCCAAATTAGGTCCATTTGATGTTCCTCCCTTGGATTGAGACCGTTTCAGTCATGTTTGTCCTCATAGTCATGTGTAGAAGCTATTAATCCATGTTTGGGTAAGTATGGAACCATCTAGTTCATCTTATACACTACAAGTGAGTTTCCACAATCTGGAGTCACAGAGGTACATTTCGGACTCCTTACCTCTTCCGGTTCCCAAATTAGGTCCATTTGATGTTCCTCCCTTGGATTGAGACCGTTTCAGTCATGTTTGTCCTCATAGTCATGTGTAGAAGCTATTAATCCATGTTTGGGTAAGTATGGGTCCATCTAGTTCATCTTATACACTACAAGTGAGTTTCCTCAATCTGGAGTCACAGAGGTACATTTCGGACTCCTTACCTCTTCCGGTTCCCAAATTAGGTCCATTTGATGTTCCTCCCTTGGATTGAGACCGTTTCAGTCATGTTTGTCCTCATAGTCATGTGTAGAAGCTATTAATCCATGTTTGGGTAAGTATGGTCCATCTAGTTCATCTTATACACTACAAGTGAGTTTCCTCAATCTGGAGTCACAGAGGTACATTTCGGACTCCTTACCTCTTCCGGTTCCCAAATTAGGTCCATTTGATGTTCCTCCCTTGGATTGAGACCGTTTCAGTCATGTTTGTCCTCATAGTCATGTGTAGAAGCTATTAATCCATGTTTGGGTAAGTATGGAACTATCTAGTTCATCTTATACACTACAAGTGAGTTTCCTCAATCTGGAGTCACAGAGGTACATTTCGGACTCCTTACCTCTTCCGGTTCCCAAATTAGGTCCATTTGATGTTCCTCCCTTGGATTGAGACCGTTTCAGTCATGTTTGTCCTCATAGTCATGTGTAGAAGCTATTAATCCATGTTTGGGTAAGTATGGAACCATCTAGTTCATCTTATACACTACAAGTGAGTTTCCTCAATCTGGAGTCACAGAGGTACATTTCGGACTCCTTACCTCTTCCGGTTCCCAAATTAGGTCCATTTGATGTTCCTCCCTTGGATTGAGACCGTTTCACTCATGTTTGTCCTCATAGTCATGTGTAGAAGCTATTAATCCATGTTTGGGTAAGTATGGAACCATCTAGTTCATCTTATACACTACAAGTGAGTTTCCTCAATCTGGAGTCACAGAGGTACATTTCGGACTCCTTACCTCTTCCGGTTCCCAAATTAGGTCCATTTGATGTTCCTCCCTTGGATTGAGACCGTTTCAGTCATGTTTGTCCTCATAGTCATGTGTAGAAGCTATTAATCCATGTTTGGGTAAGTATGGTCCATCTAGTTCATCTTATACACTACAAGTGAGTTTCCACAATCTGGAGTCACAGAGGTACATTTCGGACTCCTTACCTCTTCCGGTTCCCAAATTAGGTCCATTTGATGTTCCTCCCTTGGATTGAGACCGTTTCAGTCATGTTTGTCCTCATAGTCATGTGTAGAAGCTATTAATCCATGTTTGGGTAAGTATGGAACCATCTAGTTCATCTTATACACTACAAGTGAGTTTCCACAATCTGGAGTCACAGAGGTACATTTCGGACTCCTTACCTCTTCCGGTTCCCAAATTAGGTCCATTTGATGTTCCTCCCTTGGATTGAGACCGTTTCAGTCATGTTTGTCCTCATAGTCATGTGTAGAAGCTATTAATCCATGTTTGGGTAAGTATGGAACCATCTAGTTCATCTTATACACTACAAGTGAGTTTCCTCAATCTGGAGTCACAGAGGTACATTTCGGACTCCTTACCTCTTCCGGTTCCCAAATTAGGTCCATTTGATGTTCCTCCCTTGGATTGAGACCGTTTCAGTCATGTTTGTCCTCATAGTCATGTGTAGAAGCTATTAATCCATGTTTGGGTAAGTATGGAACCATCTAGTTCATCTTATACACTACAAGTGAGTTTCCTCAATCTGGAGTCACAGAGGTACATTTCGGACTCCTTACCTCTTCCGGTTCCCAAATTAGGTCCATTTGATGTTCCTCCCTTGGATTGAGACCGTTTCAGTCATGTTTGTCCTCATAGTCATGTGTAGAAGCTATTAATCCATGTTTGGGTAAGTATGGAACTATCTAGTTCATCTTATACACTACAAGTGAGTTTCCTCAATCTGGAGTCACAGAGGTACATTTCGGACTCCTTACCTCTTCCGGTTCCCAAATTAGGTCCATTTGATGTTCCTCCCTTGGATTGAGACCGTTTCAGTCATGTTTGTCCTCATAGTCATGTGTAGAAGCTATTAATCCATGTTTGGGTAAGTATGGAACCATCTAGTTCATCTTATACACTACAAGTGAGTTTCCTCAATCTGGAGTCACAGAGGTACATTTCGGACTCCTTACCTCTTCCGGTTCCCAAATTAGGTCCATTTGATGTTCCTCCCTTGGATTGAGACCGTTTCAGTCATGTTTGTCCTCATAGTCATGTGTAGAAGCTATTAATCCATGTTTGGGTAAGTATGGAACCATCTAGTTCATCTTATACACTACAAGTGAGTTTCCTCAATCTGGAGTCACAGAGGTACATTTCGGACTCCTTACCTCTTCCGGTTCCCAAATTAGGTCCATTTGATGTTCCTCCCTTGGATTGAGACCGTTTCAGTCATGTTTGTCCTCATAGTCATGTGTAGAAGCTATTAATCCATGTTTGGGTAAGTATGGTCCATCTAGTTCATCTTATACACTACAAGTGAGTTTCCTCAATCTGGAGTCACAGAGGTACATTTCGGACTCCTTACCTCTTCCGGTTCCCAAATTAGGTCCATTTGATGTTCCTCCCTTGGATTGAGACCGTTTCAGTCATGTTTGTCCTCATAGTCATGTGTAGAAGCTATTAATCCATGTTTGGGTAAGTATGGAACCATCTAGTTCATCTTATACACTACAAGTGAGTTTCCTCAATCTGGAGTCACAGAGGTACATTTCGGACTCCTTACCTCTTCCGGTTCCCAAATTAGGTCCATTTGATGTTCCTCCCTTGGATTGAGACCGTTTCAGTCATGTTTGTCCTCATAGTCATGTGTAGAAGCTATTAATCCATGTTTGGGTAAGTATGGAACCATCTAGTTCATCTTATACACTACAAGTGAGTTTCCTCAATCTGGAGTCACAGAGGTACATTTCGGACTCCTTACCTCTTCCGGTTCCCAAATTAGGTCCATTTGATGTTCCTCCCTTGGATTGAGACCGTTTCAGTCATGTTTGTCCTCATAGTCATGTGTAGA